TGAGACTCATGAAGGGTTACATCATAAGAGAAGGAAAACTGAAAGTAGTCCTTCACAAAGACAAAGCCCAGTAATCATAAATCCTTACAAAACTTCAATAAATGTTAATAAATGTCATGTTCAAAGGAAATGCTATATTAAGACCAATGTTCTGTTATTTAACCTTAGGAATATTTGTCATACAAACCCTTGGTTGGATCAAGATGAGCCTTCTCTTTATTGCCTATCCAAAAAAAGGAGTAAATCATATCTTGAAAAAAAAAAAATCAACCAGCTTATCTACAGTTGGTCATAGAAATTGCCTGGTATCCAACAAAACCTATCAGATGTGTCAGAAGAAAGGACTGACTATCTGGAAACTAAGAGAGACAGAAAAAAAAGTCAACAGAAACAGACCCATAAGTAGATCTCAATACTGAAATTGACAGACATAGACATTAAAATAACTTTAATTAAAATGCTCAAAAGTATAGATGACAAATGGGAGAATTTCACTAAAGAAGTGATCTATGAAAAAGTTATCAATGAAAATTTTGAAAGTGAAAAATAGAACTGAGTAACTCAGTAGAAGGTTTGACAGATTAGACAGAAGAGCTGATCAGTAAACCAGAATAAAGGTCAGTAGAAAATATCCACTCTGAAGCATCAAGAAAAAAAAAAGAAATCATGTACATAAAATCAGAATATCAGAAATGCAAAAGAAAAGTTTGGCAGAAGGAATATTTGAAGTAACATAGGCCAAGAAATGTTTATAACTTAAGAATGTCATCAAGCCAGAGATTCAAGAAATTATATAAACTCTCTCAAAGAGGAAAAATGCAAAGAAAGCAATGAAGCACATCACAGAATAACTGCTAAAGTACAAAGACCAAAAAAAAAGAAAAGAAAAGGAATTCCAGTCCAAGGTGGTGACATACAAGGCTCCTGAACTCAACTCTTTTTACAGACACACTGAATCTACTGCTACATATGGAACAATTCTCTTTGAAAGAAATCCATAAACTAGCTGAGCAATTCCTACACAACACAACTATAGAAAATCATCAAATCACAAAGGAAGAGAGCAAGAGAAGAAGGAACAAAGAATTATAAAATTGCCAGAAGACAATTAACGAAATGGCAATATTAAGTGCATGCCTATCAATAATTATTTTAAATGTAAATGGACTAAACTCTCCAATCAAAAACAAAGAATGGCTGAATGGATTAAAGAAAAAACCCTCAACAATATGGTGCCTACGAGTGATTCACTTCAGCTTTAAGGACAAACAGACTGCAAGTGAAAAGATGGAAAAAGATATTCCATGTAAGTGGAAACCAAAAGCAAGCAGAAGCAGCTATACTGCATTCAAAATCATTTTACAAGACATGCATTAACCTAATACCAAAATCAGACAACAACATTAGAAGAAAAGAAAATCACAGGACAAAATCCCTGATGAACATAGATGTAAAAATCCTCTACAAAATATTAGTAAACTGAATTCAACAATACATTAAAAAAATCATATACCATGATCAAGTAGGATTTATTCCAGGGATACAAGAATGGTTCAATATCTGCAAAACAATCAATGTGATACACCACATTAGTAGAATGGTAAAAAAGAAAGAATCATGATCATCTCAACAGATGGAGAAAAAGCATTCTACAAAATTCAACATCCATTCATGATAAAAAGTCTTAAATTAGGCGTAGAAGGAACATATCTCAACATAATAAAGGCCATATATGACAAGCCCAGAGGAACATCATACTCAATAATAAAAAGCTGAAAGCTTGTCCTGTAGGATCAGGAACAAGACAAGAATGCCCATTTTCACCACTTTTATTCAACTCAGTACTGCCAGTCAGAGCAATAAGGCAAGACAAAAAATAAAAGGCATCCAAATTAGAAAAGAAGTAAAACTGTCCTTTGCAGATGACATGATATATACAGAAAACTTAAAGACCACCAAAAACTGTTAGAACTAGTGAATTAATTCAGTAAAGTTGCAGGATACAAAATCAATATACAAATAGCAGTTGTGTATCTATACACTAATAACAAACTATCAGAAAGAGATTTAAGAAAACAATTCCATTTATTTTTTTTAAAGATTTTATTTATTTATTTGAGAAAGGGAGAGAGACAGAGACAGCATGAGCAGGGGGAGGAGACAGGGAGAGGGAGAAGGAGACTCCCCGCTGAGCAGGGAGCCCAATGTGGGGCTCAATCCCAGGACCTTGGGATCATGACCTGAGCCAAAGGCAGATGCTTAACCCACTGAACCACCCAAGCGCCCCAATCTCTTAAACATTTACTATTCTGCTGGTGTTTTGTCAACATTCAGTATGCACGTAAATATATATTTAATAAAATCATATAATATATAATATTTATATATATTTCTAAGGATTCAAATATTATCACCTTTAAAAAAAATTAATAGGTCAAAGAAAAGCTGTTTTCTCCTTCTGAGAGCTTTTATAAAGTCAAACGTAACATAAACTGAACATCTATTACATATCAGATACTTTCACATGTGTTATCTCATTTAATCTCTTATTATTCACATTTTCCAGAAGAGAACATTGTAATTCAGAATGGTTAAACCTGGTGTCAAAGGTTATACATATAAAAACAAAAGCCAGGCCTTGATCCTAGGGGTGTCTGTTTATAAAGCCAAGATCATTCTATTACCAGGGTTGGCAAACTCAATATAAAGAGCCAGAGAGTTAATATTTTAGGTTTTTTGGGCCATATGACCCTGTCAAAACTACTTAACTGTGCTATTGTAGCCCCAAAGCAACTGTAGACAACATGGAAACAAATGAGAGTAGCTTTGTTTCAATATAACTTTATTAATAAAAACAGGTGGAGGGTCAAATTGCCAATCCCTTCACTATACTACAATGCACCTCCTCCTAGAGAACCTCCATTAAGTTTCATTAACATCACCAATTGTATCTCTCTCTCTCCTTAAAAAAGTATGACCTTAATCTTACTGGGCAATTTTATTTTAATGCTTTTCTTATTAGGCCCCATTATTTGAAACAGGTTACTCTTGCAGGAATACGTTCAACCTTTTACATCTTCTAACTATAATGCTAATTATATCAGAAATTAATCTATAAATCAGATAAAACATTTTTTTCAAGATTTTGTTTACTTATTCATGAGACAGAAAGAGAGACAGTGAGAGAGAGGCAGAGGGAGAAGCAGTCTCCCAAGGAGCAGGGAGCCTGATGCGGGACTCGATTCCAGGACCCTGGCTGGGATCATGACCTGAGCCGAAGGCAGACGCTTAACCATCTGAGCCACCCAGGAGCCCTCAGATAAAACATTTCTAAAACTACAGTACTAGCGTGCACTAAATTCTCAGTGTGAAAATGTCAAACATCCATATTTAAACTTCTCCCTTTTAAACTTTTTTCAGTTATTAGTATCTAATTTTAATTGCTCAATCTTTATTTAATAAGCATAATCATCACAAGACCAAACTAATATACACAGCCAAGCAACAACAGCAAATATCCTCTTTTACTTATACAAAGTGATCATATATAGGGGCGCCTGGGTGGTGCAGTTGGTTAAGCATCCAACTCTCAGTTTCAGCTCAGGTCGTGATCTCAGGGTCATGAGATCAAGCCCTGCGTCAGGCTCTGCACTCAGGGAGGAGTGTGCTTGGTCCTCTCTCCCTCTCTCTCTGCTCCTCCCCCTCATGCATTCTCTCTCTCTCTCTCTCTCTCTCTCTCTGTCTGAAATAAATAAATAAATCTTAAAAAAAAAAGATCATATATACAAAAATGACCTAAAGACACAGAACTTAACGACCTTATTCTTTAGAAAGGCCCTTCACTCCCTTATTCCAAAATTTAATTATATGTGCCACCACTGAGATTGTTATTTTTAAGATTTAAACAGTATAAAATGATACAAATAGGAAAGAAAAATCCCCCTTCTCCATCAAGGATTCTGGTCTTTCTTCGCTTGCTCCCACTCTACCCTCCTTCCACACACACACAGGCACTCTTGTGCATGCTTTCTTTCCATTCTGTCTGCCTGTCTGCCTCTTTCTCTGACTTATACACACACACACGCACACACACACGGTATTTCAAAAACAAAATCCAAGTCCAAATAATGCACAAGATCAGACTGAATATCAACTGTACACACAAAACACAGAAGATTCAAAAACACATGATCAGATTCAAATCCCAGCTCTACAACTAAAATTGTGCTTTTACAACTAGCTTTGTGCCTTCAGGAGCTACCTATTTAACCTCTATTAGTCTCTTTGCTCATCTATAAAAGTGGGGGAAAAGTGTACCCCACCTCATGTGGTTGTTGTGTGCATTAAAGTGAGAATGGAAACAACATGCCCACAGCATGCCCAACAGCATGGTGTTGATACGTATATAGTCAAGTACTGAAAACTTGCCACTGCTCTTACTCCCATAACCACCCCTAACATCACCAATCTGGGACAAGTCTTAACTAAGATCTATTGTTATTCCTGTACAAAATGGGAAAAGCACTGTTTCCAACAGTATATATAACAACAACTTTTTAAAGAACCCTGCAAATTCTTCTTTTCGTTGTTAAAAGTCAGGGGAGAAAAGTCCCTTTTCTCAAAAACTTAACATTCCTTTGAGAACCTTTAAAAAATTAAGTCTATTTTTATTCCTGAAAGGAAACAAGAAGTTAGCATTTTTCACTTACTCTCTCATTGTTGTAGGTATTTTTAAACCAAAACATATATACTGAAAGATTTAACATGTTGCTTTTTCAAGAAAGTCACTCAACCCTAATATATAATCATAAATGGATTTGGTTAAAAGAGAACGTCAGATGAAGGTCTACTTTCTCAATCCCAATATATTTTAAAATTAACCAAGTTTGGCGTTTACTTTTGTTGTTTTTTGTTTTCAATCTTCTGCATGTAAAGGAACCACATGTTAATAACTGTATGCTACCGTCGTTCTAACATTAGTGGCTATAATCATTTCTTACCAAGTTACGCTTTTTTACTGGAAGAAAGTAATAATAGTGGCAGAAAGAAAACATCAGTGCGTAGGAAGTAAGAAGTTCTGTGTAGAAACACAACTGCAGAAAAAGCCAATGATTGTCTTCACCCACACAATTGTTAATCCTGGAGAAAAAAGGAAAACAGAAACGGTATTTTAAACTTTAATAAGATGTTCACGTCAGGATCGGGAAAACTGAAAATAAACACAAACAACTTCATATATGCTTGACTTTACGGAGCTATGCTAATGGCATTTCAACCTACAAGCCAACAGCACACAGGAACAGCTATACGCTAAATATGCCACCTCACATTTGGAAAGCCCTTTCTACTTCACAACGGAAGTCCATGGATGCAATCGGTCTTCAACTCACAACCACCCGGTGTGGCAGGAAGAGCAGATGGCAGTCTCCTCGTTTCATTGGTATGGAAACGGGAACAAAGGAGTGAAGACACTTGCCAGAGGAAGCGACAGTAGCCAAGAGAACAAGAACTTTCTTCTAGATATTGCTCTTCCATTACAGCATCCCAGCTGTGGAGAGCAATTTGAATGATTCGAAGTAAGAAGACTGAAAACTGCCACTCTGACCTTACTGCTAAGCACTCCCGATTTGTCTTACTTTTCCATTCTATCCTTGGTCGCTGAAAATAAATATATATCCACAAGTATTTACAAATTCTTAGAGCTACACTTCCACCATGACAACAGTGAATCATAGCTAGGAAAAATAATTAACGTGGTAATCCTAAAATTTTCAAGGCTGATGCAGGCTGAAAATTTTAGTGTTCCAAATTTTCAGAATATTTTATAATTCCCGCAGAAAACCCTAGTTCAAAACTAGAACTTAGCTTGCACAAATGTTTTCATTTCCCTATAGCATTATACTGCCATTGTTCGGGACAAAAAGATATAGCTGGTTCAATTCCTAACAAACTGTTGTTTCAAAGGTGTATCATTAACTATTTTTTTTTTAAATCAGACATAGAAGTAAATGAAAAACTCAAAGAGGCATTCCCTAAACTTAAGAGCTCATGCTTTGTAAACACGAAAGTTCCTGTGTTTTGCGACTTGCAAGCAGGGCCTTCACAGAAGTGTGTTCACATGTGCACTTAAACATACTCTCCAACAGCTATGGCTTCAGTGACTTAACCTTGTCCCATCCTCCTTGACACCCCCCCCCCGCTTTAATGATGGCATTCTTAACCAGAGAGCTTTGAGAAATGCAAAGGTACTCAGTCTACATGTAAGAGTTCTCTCAATAACAAACTACTCAGGAAGCCAGAAAGAGAGAAAATCTCCAGGTGATCTGAGAACTGACCTCCAAATCTAAAGCTGTTAGGCAGTTAAGATAATGCAGTTTCTGGAAATATCAAAAAATTTCCTTGCTTCCAATTCACACTGTCTATTTCCCTCACCCTCTGACTACCTCGGCAATGCCCTATTAAGGAATTCAATCACGAAAGTCCCTCGATCTGTTTAAGGCCTCTGGTCTACCGTCCTACCCTACCTCCACCTCCTTCTACTTCTACTTTTCTTCCCACAAGTACTCTGAGAAGCTGGAAACCATGGAAGAGGCCAACAAACAGAGAGCTCACCGCCCAATCTTAGAATTTAGATTAATAGCATATTTTTTGTCACCAAGTTAATCTTTATTCCTTAAAAATAAAGAAAGAATGTCGCTAATCGCCACAGTACCATAACATCTCCTGGCTGATTATTTTTTAAGCTTAAACTCTTGCATTCTTTTAAAAGGAAGTATCAAAATCCAACCGTAACATGAACATTTATTATATTCTTAATCAGAAACATTACTCTAAAAAAAGGTTATACAATTGAGTTTTTCAGTGTGGTTACTACTTGCCTAATAATATGTATTTTACCTAGCCTTTTGTTTTTTAATGTATTACTATTGTAACTGTAAGCAGATCACTCAGGTTTAGAAAATCACTTGAGAATTAATCTGTTTAAATTCAAGGCACATTTTTTAAATATCGGCTATATATTATACACTATACTATCCCATTAATGGACTTAGACAATTTTAAACTTTTTTTATATAGTAACAAAGTGCTTTTATCTAAAACGCTTTTATTTTTCCTAATCTCGGGAAATTACCTTCTGTTTAAATAATCAGTTTATGGTAAAAATCAAATTTTCACTAAAAGTCTGCAAATATTAACTTGTGCTATCAGAGTAAGTTATCAGAAAATATGGGGAACTCTAAATTGGTCAGCATCATCCAGCAAAGCTAAACACCACCACTGAGTCAACTATAGATAAATGCAGTTATAAATTTAAGAAGCCTATTATGCAGTTAACTTTGTATATGTGCATGTATGTGTGTACAAACATAAATATATATGTATTTAGATATATTTACAAAGTGCTACACTATACTAGTTTAAATATTTATACAGAGATCTCATGCTAGGAAAACAGAATTAAATACAATATCTTGTTCACAGATTTTTGTGACAGCTTTGAAATGAGATACAATGCAGAATTCTCACAGCATTTGTTTTCAAAATTCTATTTCTCAACAGAACTGTTTTTAAAAATATTACAAGAGAGCCCCCTATTGACCGAAAATGTTGCCAGTTCAGGAGAATCAGCTAACTGCCACTTACACACATCCAGCTTGCAGGGAATCTTAATACCTGCATCCAATACATAATATTGAAAAAAGCTTACAGGAGGAGAAATGAGGTTATCAGAGTATCTGAGATGTGTTATTCTTTAATTAAACAACTGGAAAGGGAAATATCAACAATGCAATGTATACCATTTACTACAGTTAGAGACAATAACAGCTACTATTTAAGTGCTTTTTATGTGTCAGATGCTACACTACAATGCTTTACATACATTGCCTCATTTAATACAACAACCTTAGTTCTCTTGTACACCTGGGTGCATTGACACTGAATGTCCATTTTCTGCTCAAATACTCTTTGTTAGAAAAGATAGGATCTCTGTGCAAAAATGACTTTGGCAGTTGATAGAACCTGACAGAACCTGACAGTATCCTTACTGAAGGATTTTTGAAAACTGCATGATTTTAATATAACTTTTATTTAAATCTGCTACGTACTAAGATTTATTTTTCACTATTTTTTTTTCAAAAGTAAATCATAAGTTTCTTACCATGGACAGTGATGATCCATTCTCCTAACACAGTGGCCACAGCGGCTACAGTGATGGGAACGCTTTGGTCTCATCAAATTACATTTGTTACATAATTCCCAGAACTCCCGTTCTAGAGAAGGAAATTAAAATCCACTTAATAAAGGCAAATGAGTAATGTTGAAATTTAGCAACAACAGTTTAGATTTTATAGGAAGTCTTCGATATATATGTCCAAGATTTTTCTTCTACATCTTCACTGTAAAAGAATTTGCCATAAATATTGCTTCTCTATTCTATTCATGTCTTATTCTATACATTTCTAATTTTAAACACTGTAATAGTAAGACACCATTAATAGTCAAACTAAGGGATAGAAAATAAGGTATTCGGGTTATGGACATACTTGCTATAAGTGAAATTTAATGACAAATCCCGAAAGCACAACCAAATTATTATATTAAAACAGAATTTTATGTACAAATTAATTTCTAGGAATTTTACTAAAGACTCTAAAGAAGAAATAATTCTGAATCCTAGTTTCATTGATTAAGAAGTCACAAATCAATCCTATAGGGGCAACTGGGTGGCTCAGTCGATTGAGCATCTGCCTTTGGCTCAGGTCATGATCTCAGGGTCCTGGGATCCAGCCCACATCCATCTGACTCCCTGCTCAGCGGGAAGTCGGCTTCTCCTTCTCCCTCTGCCCCTCCCCCAGCTTGTGCTCACGCACGCACTCTCTCTCTCTCTCTCACTCGCTCAAATGAATAAAAGCTTAAAAAAAAAAAATCAATCCTATAAACTCATTAGAAAAACAGAGATAGCATTCCCACCCCCTAACCATTTTATATTTTTAATATCAGTGAATTCATTTAGGAGTGTTTATGGGAGAGGGTAGGAAAATTTTGTGTTTCACATGGTATAGGAGGTATTAGGATGATTTCAGAAGTAAAGATAATTACAAGAAAATTATTATTTAATGGAAATAAGGGAGTTCTTTACAAAACTCTTTCTTACAACCAAGTAGCAATTTCCTCTACCTTGTAATTAAAGAGCACACATTTAAGTTTTGTGCTAAAAACATTAAGTTTACAGAAATAAAAAGTCATTTATTTTCACTATAAATTTTTCTAATCAGACCTATGAGAACTATATGAAAGTCATCTATCAAGACAACTGCTTTATTATACAGAATGTATCTCTTTAACATTTGTTGAAATGGAATTTTACTTTTACAAAATTCTTAAACCTTCCATCACTTACATTTAAACTACACTAACCTTGTTAAAAGCATGGGCATAGTAATAGTAAAATTGAGTGAATATTCATATATGCAAAGTATCACCCTGGCACACAGTAGGTGGTCACTAAATGCCTGCTAAAGTATGAATTTTTAAAAATGAAAGATTTTAAATATAAGTAAAAGAAGATAATAGTAGGCAGTATTCAATTTTCTAAAAGATACCTTATTTTAATTCCATTAATTTAATTTAATAACCAGGAGTAAAATCAATATACTGGAATTTTATATAGTGAAGTATTAGGAAAACATTCTGCTATAGAAGAAATCAATAATAATATCAAATTAATTGTTCCAATAATATTAAAGTTGAGAAATTGACTTTTGCATTTAAAATTTCATTTTTTTAATTCTTTATTTAAATTCAACTTAGTTAACATATACTATATTATTAGTTTCAGGGGTAGAATTTAGTGATTCATCAGTTGCATATCACACCCAGTATTCATCACATCACGTGCCTTCCTTAACGCCCATCAGCCAGTTACCCCATCTCCCCCACCCACCTGCCCTCCAGCAACCTTCAGTTTGTTTCCTAGAGTTAAGATCCTCTTTCATTTCTTACTTACAGTTCTTATTTTAATAAAAACTTATGTGAGAAAGCAACATTAGAGTTTAATTTAGATGGTTAAATTAGTATTATTTAACTGTAACTGAAACAAAAACTCATTTCATATGTAGCACAATACAATGTCACAAGCAGATTACTCTTTTCCCACTTAGCGAGATGCTCCCAAACATCCCAACGTTAAAACTCTGAATTCACATACTGCAAGGAATGGAGTCAGGAAGCAGACTCCCCCTGATGAGCCAATTTTCATTAAAAGACAACAAAAAAACTTTAGTTTTTTAAAAACCAGTGCCTTAAAATATAAATATGGTATAAATATATGGTATAAAATATATTTATAAATAAATATAAAAATACATTTCAGCATATGATATTCTAGAGAGTAAAATTCTTTATTTCACACTTGAAATGTTGTGTCCTCAGAAAAGAAGGCAGCATTTGGTTATAGTGAGAGAAAGCCTGTAATTGTGTAGTCTAGATCACGGGGTGGCAAACTACAGTTCACAGGCAAATCCAGGCCACCACCTGTTTTCATGAGCTAAGAATGGTTTTTACAATTTTCAACAATTGAAAATAAGAATGTGTGATATGTAAAAATCCTGAAATTCAAATTCCAGTGTCCATACATAAAAGTTTTATTTGAACACAGTTCAAATGAACACCCATTCATTTATGTTTTATCTATGGCTGCTTTTGGGTTGCAATGGCAGAGCTGAGGGGCTGTGACAGAGACTGTACGAGTCTATAAAGCTGAAAATATTTACTATCTGGACCTGTACGGTAAAGAAGAGTTTGCCAATCTATGGTCTGGATCACAAATTTGTTTAAAGAAAGAGCTTGAGCCATTCCTTGGCTAAACTTAAGATATTATACAAATATCTAAAATAGCTTTGAAATCTCACATTTTCACACACATGCACACACACACACACCTATGTGTTTAGAGAACAAAGAAAAAAAATCACTATTTTAAATACCTAGAAATTTAAAGTATCCTCTATGTTTTTGCCTCATATAACAAGAAAAAAAAAATCCATCCATCTTAACCTACCCTATGTATCTAGAAACCATTTCTTGCTCTTTTCCAAATGTGACCTTGGTGACTGACATATTCTGATGTCTGAAGACTTTTGTACTAGCATCTAATATAAAATAAAAGCCTGTGGGGGGGGGAATCAGAAGGCAAAATACCATCTGTAAGTGATGAAAATAAAAATTTTAAATTAAAAAAAAAAAGCCCATGGGAGCGAGAATTCAACTGCTAATTTATGGTAGCTATAGAAAAATTGACAACTGACTTTTTTTAAAGCAAAGAAAAATTTTAAAAGAAAGGAAAATATAAAAGTGACTTTTTTAAAGAAAAAAAATCAAAACACAAAGAAAAGAAGACAAACCCCATAAATGCCTGGGTACACCTAAGTAAGTAACTTAGGTAAACAGTATGCCACTGTGTTGCATGGATCCTCTTAATGCTGTAAATGCATGAATAAACAAAAAAGCAAGATTTGGTTTTGTTTTATTTATCCCTCAGAAAGAAAGGAATCACCTTCTAAGTAAGACTTTTAAAAGACTTATTAGGTCTTCTCAATTACTGTATTTCAAACCACAAAGTAATGTTTTAGGGAGAAAAATATAACTTGAAACTATGAAAATCAATACGTTTGGCTCTTCACAGAGGTTCCCTGACAGAATCACTTGCCAATGTAGAAAATAAATGGTAGTAAGTCTCTAACAGATCTCCTTTAAAAAGCAATGTAAGAAATGGGGAGGGGCGCAAAACTACAAGTGAAAACATGACCCTGAGCATTAACAGCACGTGTCCCTACCACTCAGGGTACAATTTCAAGGGACGTTATCACACAAATTTTAAACACGCTGCATTTTTTTTTTAAACTTGGAAGATTTTGCTCTGTAACAGGGTGATTCTACTCAAAATGGCTCTAATGATGACAAAAAACACTGAAGTCAAACATGTAAGTTAAGAGCTTGATGATGAAAATGTTCTAGGGGCACCTGGGTGGTTCAGTCGGTTAAGCGTCTGCCTTGGGCTCAGGTCATGATCCCAGGGTCCTGGGACCAAGCCTCGTAACCACCTCCCTGCTCAGTGGGAGCCTGCTTCTCCCTCTGCCTGCCATTCCCCCTACTTGTGCTCTCTCTCTCTCTGTCAAATAAATAAATAAAATCTGAAAAAAGAAAGAAAAGAAAAGAAAAGGAACGGAAGGGGAAGGGAAGGGAAGGGAAGGGAAGGGAAGGAAAGAAGGAAGGAAGGAAGGAAGGAAGGAAGGAAGGAAGGAAGGAAGGAAGGAAGAAAGAAAGAAAAGAAGGAAAGAAGGAAGGAAGGAAGGAAGGAAGGAAGGAAGGAAGGAAGGAAGGAAGAAAGGAAGAAAATGTTCTAAAATTGATTGGGGTGGGATGCCTGGCTGGCTCAGTCAATAGAGCATGCAACTCTTATCTCTGGATTAGTTCAAGCCCCATGTTGGACGTAGAGCCTACATACATACATACATACATTCATAAAATTGATTGTGGTAACAGGTGCACAACTCTGTGGACATACTAAAAGCCATAAATTGTACATCTGAAATGGGTGAATCATATGGCATGTGATTTATACTCAATAAAGCTGTTTTTTTTTAAAGTTAAGAGACTGAATAAAATCATTTCATAAAACTTGAAAATGACATAAAGTAATATTTCTATATTTCAAGCATGCATGGGATTAATATGAATAATATAAATAGACATTTAATGATTTCACTTGACTATTTCATCTACATCCCCAAAAGTTTATAAAAGTCAAATTCTGGGGATCTTTGTGTGGGACAGCAGAACCTCCTCTTATATTCAAACTGCCTCATATATTTGGCAGGTCACATAGATACTAAATTTATCTAAAATCTATTATAAAAAAAACAGAAAGTCATGTAAAATATTTCAGAGTAATTCAATTAAAACATGGTTAAAATCAAAAGTATTAGGGGCTTAAGTTTCCTTTCCTAAAGAATTCAATTATATGAAACTGCTCAACCTTAAAACAGTGATGAATAAATGTCACTTCTTATAGCCCCAACTCTCTAGTCATGCTATTTTTTTTTACTCTTAAAATTTTATTTTTTACTAAGTTAAAACCATATTTACAAAATAATCAGCATCACGAGGCACATGATGACTTCAATTTTCCCCAGAATCAGAGCAAAGGTGAATAAAGGGCTAAAATTATTAACCTCTATATAGATGTGTGGTAAAAAAGATGAGGGAGCCAAGTATTTGGGTGTCATAGCAACCTGCTCTGTGACCTACAGAGGACAATCTACACTTGATTATTCAGTCTACCTACCTCATGCAATTACCATGAGGATCAAATGATAGGAGATAGTAAAAGACTTTGGAAATACTAAAATACAATAAATGAATGCGGTTGTTGCTTTTTTTTTCAGTTGGGCAAAAGGTTAAGTCTTTGGGACTCAGTGAAGAAAACTAGGCCAGATGCCAACTGAGATCATAAAGAATGCAGACATCCAAACAGCAGCAAGATACCATGGAGTCTTCCATCACTAGGGTCTATAAGCTAAAGGTAACACGGTGGTTTAATGCAGATTCAGTTAGGCCTACAGACACAACTTCTTTAGTATTCACTTAAAACCAATGTTTTTAAATGTTTAATTTTTTTGTTAATTTTTTTAAATCACAAAATTTCTCTCAAAAACTGTAATTCTCTGTTTTCTCTTTAAAAATTGTAAGATCTATGAATACCGGGCCTATGTGACAATTTCACTGCAGCTACTGCCTTTGGATATGAGATTTTCAATATGAAATAGTTCTTTCTTGGCCCCTTTCACTGATTTGCAGTATCTAATACATGTAGGCATCTGAGTGACCACTGCACACTAAAGATTTTATCAGAAATGGGTCCTTTTTTTTTATGTTCAATTAGCCAGCATATAGTACAACATTAGTTTTTGACGTAGTGTTCAATGATTCATTAGTTGCGTATACAACCCAGTGCTCATCACAACATGGTCCTGAGTTAGGAAAAGGTTACTTCCCTAATTCTCTAGAAACACTGGGCTTTAGAAATGAAGGAGGCAATACACCCACCAATGTGTTAGAGAGCCTTTCTTTGGGTCAGGTTAGTTGAGAAAAGAGATTCCGTACAAACTGCAGACTGCCACCCATCACCCCCCGCCCAAACACACACAAAAACTAACAGTGATGCTGCTTCTCTAAGTGAACAGAAACGAAATACTCGGCACAGTTCTCAGAAACTTCTACAGTCACATAAACATCAGTGTCTTATCATTCCCATTTAATCATTAAACTTGCAAGGCCACGTATGTCCCTAAATGATGGGTCTCAAAAAACAACATTCAGGAACTCAAGGGAGACTCACTCCCTTAGTGACTTGCCACTAATCTAATTTCAGAAGGAATTAATAGGTTCCCCAATTTTTTACACACTGGAATCACCTGGAATCTTTGAAAAATGCTGATATCTGGCTCCTACCTACATACATTATGATTTAATTAATATGGGATTGGGATCAGGACACTGAGTTGTTTTTTTTAATTATTTATTTATTTGACAGAGAGAGACACAGTGAGAGAGAGAACACAAGGAGAAGTAGGAGAGGGAGAAGCAGGCTTCCCGCAGAGCGGGGAGCCCAATGGGGGGCTCGATCCCAGGACCCTGGGACCATGACCTGAGCCAAAGGCAGATGCTCAACAACTGAACCACCCGGGCGCCCCAGGACACTGAGATTTTTAAAAGCTCCCTTGGTGACTCTAATGTCAGCAAGGTTGGAAAACACTGTAGTACTATAGAAAGTGTTCTGATTCTCTAATGCCCAACGAAGTCATAGGAATATCTCCTTAGAAGAAAGTACAGAGAGTTCTCAAAGCTTATAGAACAAATGATCCAAAAGTGAAAGTGAGGAAAGAGAGTCCCTGAGGTTTACTATACCTGGCATGTAATAAAACAAGCAATACATTTTCAATTCATTTTTGTGGTTCAAATGGTTATTGTGCAATAAGGTGACCCAAAACTACCTTCAATTGACACTAAAATAAAAAGTTTTCAAATTTTTCACTGAATTGTTAGAATTTGGAAAAATATAGGCAATAGTATCATTAGACTACAAATATTTACTCTAAGCAATATTCTATTTATAATTTATAATATCACCAAGAGAGGGGACTATCAAAAAGATCCCTTTATTAAATAAAAATATATCAGGTACTTATGTATCATTCAACAAGCATTTACCCAGCATCTACTAAGTGACAGAGATGGGCACTAAGGATACAGCACTGAACGAAGAAAACAAAACAAAAAATCAACACCCTCACAGAGGCTATATAGGTCTAGAGTGGGAGACAAGAAAAACAAGTAAACTACAAAGAGGCAGAGAGTGGGGGATACCAGGAGTCAGCTGGGATTTGCGATTTTAAATAAAATAATACATTATATGAAAAAAGAAAAAAGAAGAAGATAGCAAGAGGGGAAGAATGAAGGGGGGGGAATCGGAGGGGGAGATGAACCATGAGAGACGATGGACTCTGAAAAACAAACTGAGGGTTCTAGAGGGGAGGGGGTGGGGGATGGGTTAGCCTGGTGATGGGTATTGAGGAGGGCACGTTCCGCGTGGAGCACTGGGTGTTATGCACAAACAATGAATCATGGAACACTGCATCAAAAACTAATGATGTAATGTATGGTGATTAACATAACATAATAATAAAAAAAATAAGAAGTCTAGAAAGGAAACATCGGAGAAAAGACTTGCGAGTGGTGTTAGAGAACATATATAATGAATACATACTAAAGGCTATAAAATACATTCACAAAGGTAATAATGCCGAGAGAGCAAAGTGATCAATCTGAAGAGTGCCATACCTCCGTGTGGAATCTTAGGGTTCTCGGGGAGTCTTCCTGGATCAGTAAATGAGGCCCTCACTAAAGCAACCAGACAAAATACGGCAATGCCATAGAATACTTTGAAATAAATAAGAAAGTTAAGTAAATAAAATCTGTCATTTATTCTTCAAAACACTTTATCAAAAAGCATATTCAAAGTTTAAAAGCATGTTTTAATTAATGCCATCAGAATAAGTAATTTTGAAAACTAAAATGGAAAAATTAAATGATTAAATAAAATAATTAAATATTCACTTCACTCATCAAATACTACTGCCAAGAGGACTATCTCGTACATATTAACTTAAATATTATTTTGCATAATAACTGATAAACTTGTTATAAATCAGATTTTTTATTAACAGAGGTTCCCTGTCAATAATGGCATAAATGAATGGGCTCCCTTTTCATTACTACATGTACTATATTTGACAGAATCAAAGCAGCATTTTAAAACCCATTCTACAATTAAACTTTTTCATTACCTCTAACTGGCTATCTTCAAAATTACTTTGAGTTAGAGATATTCAATTGCTCCTTTTAATAAAGCTTAAGATATTGATGTAATGTGAAAATAAAGAATCTAGAAATTTTGAGTTTCTAAAAGAATAACTAGAAAAATAGCAGTAAGGAAAAACAGGTTCATTCATTATAATTCTACCTTTTAAAATGAATAAAAAAGATAGGCATTTGGTGGGGGAGGGGGGAGGCCCTGCACCAGTAAGAGGAAACTCAGTTTGAGTGCTAACTCCAGGAATGACTGCATGGTACTGGTCAGTTTTACCACTTGTATAACAGAGATATTTCCCACAGCCCTTGTGAGGCCAAAATGACATAACGTACAAGGAAACTCTAAATGCCACATACATGTAAAATATATCATTTCAATCTTATTCTTTTAATCATAAGCAAGCCATCACCAAATGAACGACAGCAGAAAATGATTATCCAGAAGTTCAAAGTGTTATCATAATCAATGTCATAATTAGTAATTTTTGCATCATGAAAGTCTCATTTCTCAGTAATGTATATCATCTTCATTCTTAAAACTCCTTCCACATTTGAAATAAGTACATAATAGAAACATTAAAAATGCACACAGACACACACAAAATAGCACTACTGTGCCAGTTTCGGTTTAAACAAAATGACCTGTATATATTTTGCAGAGCTATGGAGATGCTACATTTACCCAACCCTGCAAAATCTATAAAAGCCAGTCTTTTTTAAGACTTCCCTAATTTAGTAAGTAACTTAATTATTAATAGTGCCGATAATATTAAAAGAAAAGTTATCATAGTGATACTATACTACTATACTCCAAAAATATTCACAATGAGAAAACTAATTGTATAAAGAAATAAAGATCAGGAACTTACTTATTATTAATATGCCTGGAATATGTCCTTCTTCATAGTGAGGAAAGAGGACAATTTTGGGAATTAAAACAATATTGTATAACCAGACAAAGACAATCAAACCCATGCAGCACCAACCATGTGGGTCAACAACAAAGTGAATCCGGAGACCCATTCTGCAGTCCTACAACTGCGTGCCAACCCACAAGGAAAGACAGTCCTAAGGAGAGGTGACAAAGAAAAAAATTACTTATGTAGAAAAAATTATTTGACTGAAACAAAACTATATTACTGGCAACTATAAAATGACGCCGAGTTTTCTTTGGATATTTTTGACAAAATGAAACACACTGCAAAACAAAGAGAAGTTTCAAGATATTCAAACTTCATCAGAGGCTTCAAATCATTTAATTCCAATTTTTACTATGAATTGCTATCACAGAGGATAAATTAGCAATACCTTCTGAAGCTAAACACAAGTCTGTCCTTAACCCAGCAATTCCATGTGTAAACCCAAGAGAAATGAGACACATATCAAAAGATACATGCAAAATTTTTTAGTAGTTTTAATCATTAGACTAACTGATGGTCATACAAGTCAAAACAGTGGTCCGTCCTCTTGTGGTGGGAGGGGAACATAAGGGAAACTCTGAGGGGCTAGAATTGTTCTCCATCTTGACCTGGGTGGTGTTTCATGGGTATATACATATGTAAAAATTCACTGTGCTGTACACTTAAGATCTGTTTGATTTATTTTAATTTTAAACCACAATACAATGCCTAATCATTTTGGAAAATAAAAAGCGGAACATAATCACAAATTGCCAAAAATATTTAAATTCACAGAACAAAGCCCAACTAATCTTACTACTATCAATTCAAGAAGACTACTGTTTAAATGGAGTTTTTTCACTGAGTGTTAACAAAATGCTAATCGACCTTCCAGTGAGACACTTAAAGTTGATACTTCTATATTTATGGTACCAAAAAAGGTGATTTAAGATATATGCTTACCTTCGTAGATATAATTTATAAGGCTTAAACAGGAAATTATAAGGTCAAGGGGGCACCTTTTACATAAAATAAAATGGAATAATAACAAACTAGGACAGTGTTTCTCAAACCTGTAAGCTAACCGGAATCAACTGAGGAGCTTTTTAAAAATGTTATTCTCAGGTCCCATTCCAGATCTACTGAATCATAATTCTTTATGGAATAACAGCTCAAAAACCAATAAAATGTTTTAAAATGTTCCCCAGGTTTCTCTGATAGAGCACACTGGTATCTAGAAACCACTGATCCAAAAGCTTCCCTAAGACTTCCATGTTAGGGCAATGAGTTGAATGCAGTTCAACAAATTTATTCACGGAGCCGCCATTAACACACCAGTTATTATAGATACAATGATGAATGAGATGTGGTCTTTGCTTAAAGTAACTAACAGTCTACTGGGGAAAAGAGTCAGAAAAATGGGTTTAATACAACTTGTTAAGTACCAGAGATGTGGACAAGATGTCACCAGAAGGAGGAGGATCAGGACTCGTTAAATCAGGGCAAGACTTCCTCTAGGTGGTGAAATCTGAGTTCAGCTTTAAAAGACAAGTAAAAGTTATCCAAGCAAAGAAAAGTGACAACAATACTGTAAACAGAAGGAAGAGCAGGAGGTATACAAGAGTAAAAATTGTAGGAGGTATTACAAATTGCCATCATAAGTCACGAAGCTCGCAGTGGAGAGTGAGGGGTGAGAAATAAAGACATTAAGATGCCACGTTAGAATGCTAAGACTTCATTCTTTGGCATTGGAAAGCTACTGATGCAAGAAGTTAACATAATGAGATTTATACTTTAAATAAAGTATTGAAGCTCTGGTGTCGAGGATAAAATTAAAGATCAGTTAAGCTAAGGAAAGACAAAAGCCAAAATTAGGTTTGAGAAGAGATCAACTGAGGAAACGGTTACAATCAACCAGTATGTTTAACTGACTGACTGGATATCAGGGGTTACAGAGGAAAGAGTCCAGAAGGACTCGGAGAGTTTCATCTTCTATCCCTCACTATCATCAGTTGGAGAGCCTCAGGGTGCGGTCCCTTAGAGGCCCTGCCAATGTTCTTTAAAGCTACAAAGCTACCGGAACAAAGAAAGAAAAAAAAAAGATTTAGGATTAGCTAATTTTAAAGTAATACCCTGATCCTATCATCCTTAGAACATGCAAATACTGGAGCAGCAGAAAAAAAAAAGACAAGAACTCAAACGCAACACCACCCAACTGTTTAAATCAGATATGGTCTAAATTAGTACTTATGTACGAATTTTAAAATAGGAATAGTGCCTAGGCCTTTAAAAAAGTAAAAGTTGAACTTCATTACCTTTTAATTAGAAAATTACAAGACCTATCAGTATCATTAAAGGGAGGAAAGTCACAGAGGATAAAGTATGCTATTTAATTTACTGGGTATCATTGTTTTAAAAACTAAAGGAGCTCAAATACAAATGATAAGCTGTCTACATAGCTAAAATGAGAAACATTAAAAAGAATGTTTTTTTTACAGTCTTGCCAACCATCAAGTGCCAAAAGAAATGACAGAAGGCTCTGTCTCTCAACATGTTCAATATTATTAACTCCATGTACCTTCTTTCTTATAATGTTTCAGTTCCAGACAGGACTGAAAAACAGATTATGAATTCCAATCATCACAGAGAACAGAGCAATTTCATTACTTATTTCTAAATTTATTAATATTAGAAAAGCATTCAAACAAGCAGCAGAAGTATCACTCATTCATGTTTCTGAACTCTATTTGTATCCTCCTCTACCAGAGAATAACAAGTTCTTCTTCGGAGATTCCTCACAACTGAAGAATACTAGATACCGAAAAGCATAGTTAAGGGTGTCTGATTTTCCTGCATGTGAGCAGATATAGACAACAGGCTCTAAAACAAAAAGCATCCCCAAGGAAAAGCAAGCAAAGAATAGAAAAATAAAACAATGAGTAAATAAGATGTTGAGTTGTTTTTTAAATACCTGGTGAGTGAAAATTGGTGCCACATAAGCTTTATGGCTAGACTGTAGAGAAGCAAACAGTAGTCCTCGAAGAGCTCCAAATCAGATTACAACCAGAAACACGTACCTGGTAGAGTGGTAGGGATCACTCCACTCAGTTAATATCTCCCAGGCGTGGCTTATGGCTGAACAGAAACTATTACACATCCTGAGCCACAACCAAACTGAACACAGCGCTGCTACTCGGTCCTAAGGGTGGCATTTGTAAAATACTTTCATTAGCCAGAGATTCTAACATGCTAATTTGTATATTAAAAGGTGAGTTCATAACTCAAACTTTGATGTAACTAGTGGACATACTGGTACTTCAACATTTTTTAAGATTGCTATCTGGTAACTCTACTTGAGTGCCGTGACTAACTTCATTAATGATGTAAATTACTACAGCACCAACTTTTTTTTTAAAGATATCATTCAACTCTTAATAAACTAGACTACATAAATATTTACAGTATCCAAACTATTCTAGGAGGAAACGACCTTTCCTTTCTTGCCTTTTTAGGCCACTAAATTTTACCATGTATTTTCTTCAGGAAGAATACTCGAATCACTATGAAAAGAAAGGGATGGAAAACTATTATAGGACCGAAAACTATACAATCAAAATGCAGCTTTTAGAAAATGATAAAAATTAGCCAAGATAATTTACAAGAAATCGAGGCAAATGTTCTCGCTAAACTTAGTTTTATATGACTCTCCACCTCAGCCAGTCGTCTTACGAATGTTCCATGAATATGAAAAAAACATTCCCTCTCTCATTCCTCCTATCTGAAATGTCCCTACCATTTTGCTTACTCTATTTAAATTCAATTCACACTTCAAGGTCAATTTGAATCTCATTCTCCAGATGAAATTTTTCCTGCCACCTCAGTTCACGGTGATTTTCCTCTTCTAAATTCCAAATACAAAGCAAAACTAGTACAAGAAAATAGCAAGTGGTTTTATAACCTCAAAATGAGGAAGACCTTCACAAACAAGACCTTCACAAACAAGACCACATAAAGATTAAAATTTCTGAAGCCTAAAACATACCAAAAACAAAGGTAAAAGACAAAGTATCCCTTTTAAAAAACATTACAACATCTGACTGGTAAGAGGCATACAAAAGAAATACACAGAGAAGCAATTCACAAAGAAAAAAAATTTAATGGCTAATCATTACTGATTAGGAAAATGTGAAATAACTAGGTATGTTTTTTCATCCTTTGTACTCACAAAATTTTGGAAAGATTACCCAGGGATGAGAGAGCACAGAGAAAAAGATACTCCCACCCATTACTGCGATGCATGTAAACTGATACAATCATCTTTAGATGGCAATGTAGCAGTAGCTATTAAAAAGTCAAACTCTCTGACCCTTTGACAAACTATTTGACCCAGCAGTTTTACCTCTAGTAAGAGCTACCAAAGTACTCATTAGAGTGTGGAGGTACATGTACATTCAAGGTGTTCCACACAGTGCTTTTTGTAATCATAAAAATTGGGCACAACATCAGTGCTCATGAAGAGGGAGAGGAATGACCAAATTATAAGACATCCAAGGTGTAGAGTTATTTCCAAGCTACTGCAATTAAAGAAAGAAAGAAAGAAAAGAAAGAAAAGAAAGAAAAGAAAGAAAAGAAAGAAA